CAATATGGTTCATGGGGTCACAAAGAGTCGGACACGACTTAACGACTAAACAACAACATTCTGCAGAGCTTCAGCTCCCATCAGGTGCCTTCCTTTTCAAATGCTCACTCTTCATCCTTGTTATCTTCTGGCTCTCCACATGCTGCCACAGATAGTCCTGAGCACTGGGAGACCTTGTCTCTAGCTGCAGGACAGAATCCTTTATATTCTGGTTAGGAGCCAGTGTGCCTGATACTGAAGCTTGCCTCCCCAGTTTCCAAGTTGGCAGGCTTGCTGGTCCTCAACTCAACAATTTATATTGCCTTATCCTCTTCAGAGGTTTCATGCTATGGATCTTCATGGAGAGCTTTCATCTAAGTACCTGTATGCACTTAATCTTCTGTGATGAGTCCTGAGGAAAGCCTGGCTTCTAATCCCTTCTTAAATTTCCTCACAAAACTCTCCTGTCCCTGATTGTTCTCCTGTTTACTTGTTCTGCTCGCAAGCTCCCAGAAGGAGCAAGTACATGATCTGGGGATTCTCCTGGACTCATAGCTTTAAAGAGCATTAGTATAGTCAATACAAGCCCAGAGTGTATCACACAATATAACATGCTTGTAACCAATTTAGAATTCTCTGGTTAGTCGACCATATGCCTAACCAACATATTCACAAATGTCTAGTCTGTATGGTGTGTAGTTGATTATTGAGTTTTGTTTCTACCACCCAACTTTGTATTGTTGATATGATACTTCGCCTTCACTTCTTGTGAGTGAAAGGCAGCCATATGACTAAAACTGACAATGCTTTCCCTTGGATCCCTTTATTTTCAAGAATCCACAACTTTCATTTAATGAGAAGCATCTACAGTTTGATTCTTTTGAAGTAGTATCTCTGTGGAAGTGATCCAGGCTTTTCCTATCCACATGCAGTAGATCAATCAAGCAAAAATTTTCTAAGTTAGAGAGGATTCTCTGTTTACATTTTAAAATTAATAGTAGGGCATTTTGGACTATTTTCCTATGTTGTTTCAATCCATCTATGTGATGTGATTCCTCAATTCTCCCTCAATGCTACATTTTCAGCATCTAAAACATGCATATTCTCATGCCTCTTTATAAAACAAGGCAATGCAGCCAACCCTACTTGAGAGAGGACCCCCCCCCCCCCAAGATATATGGTGAAAGATCTTTGGGGACAAGAAATGAATTGAGCTAGGACCACATTTAGGATGTGTACATGGCTGCTCAATATTGTTTCTTTCCCTGCAGGCATTTTCTGTGCTATTATGTACTATTATGCCTGGAAAGGAACCTATAAACACTAATAAATTTTTAAATAAAAATAGAACATTTCAGTAAGAAAAAACTATTACTAGTTTGTATTGTGAGAT